CCTTCCCCTGACCTGTATGTCTCTGTGTTCCCCTGACATCAACACACCTGTATGTCTCTGCCCCCCCCCCCCCCCCCCCCCCCCCCCCACCAGGTAACACACAACCAAATGTTTCCCCATAGGCTTCTACAGTGCCGTAATATTCCTTGTAAAAATAACAAGCATTCAACAGCTTTTACAAATGACTAGCCCAGCCAGTACAGGAAGCTAAACACGCCACCGCAAAGTCCGCACCAATTGTCACTGGCTTGAAAATATCTTTGGTCACATTCAGCATGAGTTGTTGAAAAGACAATACTAAATAAAGAACTATATGGTTTTAATTACTGGATAGATCTACATTTCAAAAACATAAAATGCTTCTAATCACAGCTGCCAGACGATTCAATCTGCACTGAAGGCTTGTTGAACGACTGATTCTAGCTTTGGTGTAGTAACATCAACACACCTGTATGTCCATGTGTTCCCCTGACATCCACACACCTGTATGTCTCTGTGTTCCCCTGACATCCACACACCTGTATGTCTCTGTGTTCCCCTAACATCCACACACCTGTATGTCTCTGTGTTCCCCTGACATCCACACACCTGTATGTCTCTGTGTTCCCCTGACATCCACACACCTGTATGTCCATGTGTTCCCCTGACATCCACACACCTGTATGTCTCTGTGTTCCCCTGACATCCACACACCTGTATGTCTCTGTGTTCCCCTGAGATCCACACACCTGTATGTCTCTGTGTTCCCCTGACATCCACACACCTGTATGTCTCTGTGTTCCCCTGACATCCACACACCTGTATGTCCATGTGTTCCCCTGACATCCACACACCTGTATGTCTCTGTGTTCCCCTGACATCCACACACCTGTATGTCTCGGTGTTCCTCTACTATCCACACACCTGTATGTCTCTGTGTTCCCCTGACATCCACACACCTGTATGTCTCTGTGTTCCCCTAACATCCACACACCTGTATGTCTCTGTGTTCCCCTGACATCCACACACCTGTATGTCTCTGTGTTCCCCTGACATCCACACACCTGTATGTCCATGTGTTCCCCTGACATCCACACACCTGTATGTCTCTGTGTTCCCCTGACATCCACACACCTGTATGTCTCTGTGTTCCCCTGAGATCCACACACCTGTATGTCTCTGTGTTCCCCTGACATCCATACACCTGTATGTCTCTGTGTTCCCCTGACATCCACACACCTGTATGTCCATGTGTTCCCCTGACATCCACACACCTGTATGTCACTGTGTTCCCCTGACATCCACACACCTGTATGTCTCTGTGTTCCTCTACTATCCACACACCTGTATGTCTCTGTGTTCCCCTGACATCCACACACCTGTATGTCTCTGTGTTCCCCTGACATCCACGCACCTGTATGTCTCTGTGTTCCCCTGACATCCACACACCTGTATGTCTCTGTGTTCCCCTGACATCCACACACCTGTATGTCTCTGTGTTCCTCTACTATCCACACACCTGTATGTCTCTGTGTTCCCCTAACATCCACACACCTGTATGTCTCTGTGTTCCCCTAACATCCACACACCTGTATGTCTCTGTGTTCCCCTGACATCCACACACCTGTATGTCTCTGTGTTCCTCTACTATCCACACACCTGTATGTCTCTGTGTTCCCCTAACATCCACACACCTGTATGTCTCTGTGTTCCCCTAACATCCACACACCTGTATGTCTCTGTGTTCCCCTGACATCCACACACCTGTATGTCTCTGTGTTCCCCTAACATCCACACACCTGTATGTCTCTGTGTTCCCCTAACATCCACACACCTGTATGTCTCTGTGTTCCCCTGACATCCACACACCTGTATGTCTCTGTGTTCCTCTACTATCCACACACCTGTATGTCTCTGTGTTCCCCTAACATCCACACACCTGTATGTCTCTGTGTTCCCCTAACATCCACACACCTGTATGTCTCTGTGTTCCCCTGACATCCACACACCTGTATGTCTCTGTGTTCCTCTACTATCCACACACCTGTATGTCTCTGTGTTCCCCTAACATCCACACACCTGTATGTCTCTGTGTTCCCCTAACATCCACACACCTGTATGTCTCTGTGTTCCCCTGACATCCACACACCTGTATGTCTCTGTGTTCCCCTAACATCCACACACCTGTATGTCTCTGTGTTCCCCTAACATCCACACACCTGTATGTCTCTGTGTTCCCCTGAGATCCACACACCTGTATGTCTCTGTGTTCCCCTGACATCCACGCACCTGTATGTGAAATCAAAGGAAGGATTTACCATCAAAGAACATTCTAAATGTCTGAAGTCAAAGGATACGTTTAAGAAAAAACATATACCTCAAAACTTAGGTGCAATGCTACATTATCAATCAATCAGCTGTGGTACATGAGTATAAACATATATACATAATACAGTATACTGTATTCAGTATACAGTATTCCGTAATCAGTATACAGTATACAGTATTCAGTATACAGTATACAGTATTCGGTATACAGCATACAGTCTTCAGCATAAAGTATTCAGTATGCAGTATATAGTATTCAGTATACAGTATTCGGTATACAGCATACGGTATTCAGCATAAAGTATTCAGTATGCAGTATACAGTATGCAGTATGCAGTATACAGTATTCAGTATTCAGTATTCAGTATACAGTATTCAGTATACAATATTCAGTACACAGTATTCAGTATACAGTATTCAGTGTACAGTATTCAGTGTACAGTATTCAGTATACAGTATTCAGTGTACAGTATTCAGTATACAGTATTCAGTATTCAGTATACAGTATTCAGTATACAGTATACAGTATTCAGTATACAATATTCAGTATACAGTATTCAGTATACAGTTTTCAGTGTACAGTATTCAGTATACAGTATTCAGTATACAGTATTCAGTATACAGTATTCAGTGTACAGTATTCAGTATACAGTATTCAGTATTCAGTGTACAGTTTTCAGTGTACAGTATTCAGTATACAGTATTCAGTGTACAGTATTCAGTATACAGTATTCAGGATACAGTATTCAGTATACAGTTGTCAGTGTACAGTATTCAGTATACAGTATTCAATATACAGTTTACAGTATTCAGTATACATTATTCAGTATACAGTATTCAGTATACAGTATTCAGTATACAGTATTCAGTATACAGTATTCAGTGTACAGTGTACAGTATTCAGTATACAGTATTCAGTGTACAGTATTCAGTATTCAGTATACAGTATTCAGTATACAGTATTCAGTATGCAGTATTCAGTATACAGTATTCAGTATACAGTTTTCAGTATACAGTATTCAGTATACAGTTTTCAGTATACAGTATTCAGTGTACAGTATTCAGTGTACAGTATTCAGTATACAGTATTCAGTATACAGTATTCAGTGTACAGTATTCAGTATACAGTATTCAGTATACAGTATTCAGTGTACAGTTTTCAGTATACAGTATTCAGTATACAGTATTCAGTGTACAGTATTCAGTATACAGTTTTCAGTATACAGTATTCAGTATTCAGTATACAGTATTCAGTGTACAGTATTCAGTATACAGTATTCGAACCAGCTTAATCTGTTTTAGAACCATTGTTACTTCTATTTTTTGACAATTAAATTTTTTGGTATATCATTGGTAAATTCATTCAGTTCAGCTTGGTATTTTAAATATTCAACTTTTGTTCTTTTTTACTACATTTTTGGTATTTTTGTTTTTGTCAGAATGCTCAGGGTATCTTCCTGATTTTACAGTTTCTTCCTGACATTCAATACCGCATGTTCTCCCAAGACAGACATGTTGAAATCTAAAAGATTCAAAAGAAATCATTGGGTCTATTACTTATGGGGGTGGAATGTCCACAGTATTTGTAATTTTGTATTTTGTGATTTATTTATTTCAAAATTTATCATTTTATCATAAAATTTTAGTATTTATATGTAAACAAAGTATTTTTTTTTTTAAGATACAAGGTATAATATTTTGGTATAAATTTAGGTATAATTTAAAGGTGCATTTTTACTATTACATTGATAATTTAAAGGTATTTTATTATTTTTTATTTTTTGTATGTTTGTTTACATTTTTACTTGTAATTGTTATTGTTTATTTATTTTAGCTTGTACCGGTTTAACTGTGTACAGAATATGGAATGAATTATTTACCACCCACAACCATAAACCACCTCAACGTCATAAAGTCGTTTTTTAATAAAAGTACCCTCCTCTTCTGGAATACAAAAAAATAACTTTTTTTAAAGATACATGTATCTGCTACAAGGCCTGAGTTACAACCAAATCTGTGCAGCATACAATATTATATTGAAATTTAATTGCCATGGATATTTTCAGAATTATGCGTTATAATCACATGTTTATGTTATGTGTCCGTGTATTTTATTGTTGAACAATCATTGTAACTGCGTTACATCGTTTCTTATGAAATTCGGTAGACTCTCATGACATAGTAATTAGGCAGTGATTAGTCGGCTGGAATGTAGTGACATTTAATGTAAGCAGTCATCAGGATGTTTCTTTATTTAGATTCTTCTTGTGAACACGTCATGCTGATGAAACGTTTATCTGCAGATTGTACCTGTGAACACGTCATGGTGATGAAACGTTTATCTGCAGATTGTACCTGTGAACACGTCATGCTGATGAAAACGTTTTGCTGTAGATTCTACCTGTGAACAAGGCATGCTGATAAAACGCTTAGCTGCAGATTCTACCTGTGTACACACCATGCTGATAAAACGCTTAGCTGCAGATTCTACCCGTGAACACGTCATGCTGATAAAACTCTTAGCTGCAGATTCTCCCTGTGAACACACCATGCTGATAAAACGCTTAGCTGCAGATTCTACCTGTGAACACGTCATGCTGATATAACGCTTAGCTGCAGATTCTACCTGTGAACACGTCATGCTGATGAAACGCTTAGCTGCAGCTGCTGGTGTGAGACCAAACAATACAAAATCAAACAAAGCATATTTTATTTCACGCAAACCATACAATGAACATATACGTAAACATTTTGCGAAAACATAAAACGGCAGCAGTGTGAGCATTTTAAATGAATAAACATCAGGAACTCCCTCAAAACTTTACAGCTCCAAGTCCAATAAGCATTTACACGAGATAAGCAGCGAAACATTTCCTTAAGACGCCACACCGCTCTCACGTGAGTTCCTTCACTGACCAGTAGGACCTTGTGGTGACCAAAGGTCAAACGATCAAATCCATTCACTTCTGAGTTAACTTGGCCATCACTGGACGTATTCCATCATGTGATGGAGTATTGTTATAAAACATAGATGCATCATAGAGTGAGTGAGTGAGTTTGTTTTTACATCCGGGTGCCACGGGTGCACGAGGCACGTCTTGGTGAAGCCCACCAGCACGGATTAGGTGCGGAGGAACTGGAGATCATACCCAGGGGGGATCTGTGATACTAATGCATACCGGATCCTGGAATAACAAAGGGACGAAACTCTGAACTGGGCCCCACGGGATAATATTCGTATCAATCATACAGACACACTCGTGCAGTGTATACAGCGTCAGTACTATCAACCCACATCTAGGATCTGTTAATAAAACTATGTAACAATGTAATCATATAACGTCACACACAGTCAATGTACTCAAAAACAGGAGGGGTAACGACTATAAATAGGCAGATCATGAATTTAGTCCAATATACATGTCGTACATGTATGGGCATGTACTCTAAGTGTATACATAATAGTATGTAAAACAAATATATATAGATCGTTCTCTTTGACACACAGCGTGAACCTTAACGACAGAAAGAACAGGAACAGGAAGAGGCTCGCCTACATCTCATGAACACTGTGATTCAAGTTGAATGTCCAATCATAAAAATGTTGTCCAAAACGGGTTTCATTATGGTTTCATTTTACATATATGTCATAGAGGCGACGTGTTCTTTTGTGTAACTTTATTGTTCGTGATGAAATGGGGTTTAAATCATTTGAAAAGTTTCGCCTTTCTTTCCTAAACAAGCAGCCGTACAAGAGCGTCAACATGAACTGAATATACTCATTTTGTATCAAGACGTGAGTGAGTGAGTGTGTAAGGTTTAACGCCGTTTTGGAAGTAGTTCATCCGGTTGTGCCAGCTTAAAGTGGGAGAATAGCAGAAGTGATGCAAGTCTTTTAGACAATTACCATTTTAATGGAACCCAAAGAGCGGGTCTTAGTTCAGTGTACACAATGCTTGTCAACCTTCAACTGTAATGGTCTAACATGCTGGCCGTATAAGGCTACTATGCTTGTCGTAAAAGACTGCTAGTTGGCGTGGTTGAGACATGTCATCGTATCCCAGTTGCGTAGATCGATACTCTTGATGTCAATCACTGGATTGTATGGTCCAGACTCGATTATTAACAGACCGCCGTCATATAGCTGGAATACTGCTGAGTGTGGCGCTAAACAACACACAAACAGAGAAAAACAAACAGGTCAATCAAATCTTAGGTTGTTTTACGCAAGCCTCTTCAGGTACAAGTAATGATGAATGGTTACAATTCTTTGTTTTCTTATATTGTGTCAACAACCACGTCCGACCACATCAACTACTGCGTCACTAACCTTGTGATACACCGGCACCAGGTAGAGGGGGACACACAACTGGGTGTCTTGTAATAGGAAGTATTGGCGTTTTTGAACTGAAAACATGACGTCTTGTCAAAACAATCCTGAAATAATTTGCTGCTGGATTAATTCTTGGATTTTAAACAACCCTGGCTTGTTTGTTTCATTTCAAAACTATCTGATACCGTATATCCCCATGTACAACTATTTTACACCGCCATGTTCATCACAAACATCACATGCGGAAACACTCCCAATAGGAAACACTCCTACCAGGAAACACTCGTCGTTAACAGAAACATCAAGATGTTGGCAGGAAACTTTCACCACCCCCATGTAGACCATTATTCGCGATAGACCAAATTCCATGTGCACGTAATGCACGTGCAATCGTACTAATCCATTGGACGCGTCACAATCCGGCAGATACAGTGCGTCGTCTCACTGATTTTATTAACCCATTCCGATCTCCATCGATTCAAAATTTGACCTCTCGTCTCTGTCATGTCGGTGTATATAAAACCATTTTGAATAAATCGTAAACTCATTCCAAATCAAACCCCTGTCCCACATTTCAAACAAGACGTGTGTATAGACATGTTGCTATGGTAACGATGAGACATGTCAGGGCGGGAAGCTGCACGTGACTGCTGGTGGATGTGGGTGCGTCCCGGCGGCTCGCCGTCCAAGCTTTCACCGACTGGGTCAGAACATGCAAGGGCTTGTAGCCATTCGCCAAAACGGCCGAGTGGAAATCTCGAATATCGAACTGGTCCCCTGAAAAGTGAGGACACAGAATTTAGATGGTAATCGGTAAACGTTTAGATGATGATGATGGTGGTTACGGCAAAACACGATAACTACTTTATCCAGGATTTCTTAGATACATTATTTTCGACAATATTGAGAGACCCTTTTGAATTCATCTCATACTCCCACTTATACAAGTAACTGCTCCATCGGCTGACATTGAATAACTTCATTTCCTTCCTTGCGAGACTTGTCTATTTCCCCATACCGTAATTCCTTTAATAAATGCCTGGTCCACAAAGCGATCTTAGCGCGAAGACGACCTTAAAAAACATCTGTGACGTCATTCTTTTGTTTGAAGGCTCCATTATTTTTCAGGAATGGAGAGTTGTTCGTCAACTATACATTATCTTGAACCAACATTTAAATTAAGTTCCACTTTGAATAGACGGAACTATTTTGTACATTTATTGACAAGTGAATAATTTCAATTTTGTGCCGAAAACATGTGTTGCCAGCGGGGTTCGAACTCGCATATGTTTATTTGAAGACGTGTAATAGTCAACCTCAGCGACGGCGGCAAGGTATTGTGTGAAATTAACTATTAAACAGTTTTATAACTGTGCATCATGCTTAAAAGTTGAAAATGATATGTATATTTTGTGTTTGAGCAATGTTCATATTTATAGCAATCAGATAAACATTTAAAGAGAAACAAACAAATCAGTTAATATACTACCCATCAAAAGTTTAGACTCACTGAAACCACTCACTATATCTCGTAAGAAAATCGTATTTGTGAAAGCTACCAATAAAAAATAACAAAATCATTCATTTAGGTCTTCATATCCTTGTTCACAAGGACGTGTGCATTGATGATTAGTGAACCAGAATGCCGTATTGGCTAGTACCATACAAAAGTGAAATTGCAAAATTTAATAACGGGTATGACCACCCCTGGCTCTAACACAGACATTGCATCGACGTTGCATACCACGAAAGAACAGTTCAATCTGCCGCTGGGGAATGTTTGCCACTCCTCAAACAATGCATTGCGAAGTTGGCGAAGGTTAGCAGGGGGGGGGGGGGACTCTGGCATAAACACGCCGTCCCAGCAGATCCCAAACATGCTCAGTGGGGTTCATATCGGGCGATAATGCTCGCTAATCCATTCGATTCACCCCATTTTGTTGTAAACAAGCTGACACGATGCGAGCTCTGTGAGGCCTGGCATTATCATCTTGGAAAACCGCGTGACCTGGCATAGCCCTTAAGAATGGAAGCACAATAGGAATGATGATCTCGTCCCTGTATCTCTGGCCAGTCAGATTTCCATCCTGTACCAGTAAATCAGTTCTTCCAGTCAGGGTGATACCTCCCCAGACGATAACGGATCCACCTCCAAATCGATCATGCCCCACAACAGCAACGTCAGCGTACCGCTCTCCCTGACGTCCATAGACTGGGATCCGACCATCGTTGAAATGCAGATTGAACCTTGATTCGTCGGAGAAGAGTACCCTTGCCCATCTGCGGGGACCCCAGCGTAAATGTCCATTTGCCCAATTCAGTCTGTTCTGACGGTGGCGTGGTGTAAGAGGGGGTCTTACAGCTGGACGACGTGCCCGCAGTCCGTAGTGACGTAATCGGCGGCGTATTGTTGATACAGATACACGTCGTCCTGTACCTTGTTAGAAAGCATTATTGGCTGCTGTGGCTGTAATGTTTCTGCCCCTGAGAAACAGCAAAAAGACGCATCGGTCATCTTGCTCTGATGTTACCCTTGACCTACCCGACCTGGGTCGATCCTGGACGGAGTTGGTCTGTTGAAAGCGTACCCAGAGGTTGGAAACTGCCTATTGGGATACGCCAAGACGTCTGGCAACATACCGTTGTGATCTGCCATCTTGTAGCAGTGCCAAGGCTTGGTGTCGTTGCTCAATACGGAGACTTCTCCCTCTACCCATGCTTGCATCAAAGAAGAATTTCTCCACTAACTCAGAGGAGCCAACTGCAATCCTTATAAAGATGAATTGCACGAGTATCCCGCGTCAAATTGCTGATAAAACACGTGTATTATCGTGCATGTGAACACCTGCGTTTTGGTGCGAAGTTTGTTTAAAAATGTGCGACATTTCACAGAGTTTTATCAATTAATGAACGAAAAACTCTAATCTTTTCACCGTTACAGATTTGGTTTTACGCCACAACAGTTCATGTGTTAACAGTACCTGTAAAAAGTTTAGAATATTTGGCATTATCTGGTTTGAAACAGTTGAGTATAGTGAGTGGCTACATTTACACTGGTGAGTCTAAACTTTTGATGGGTAGTATATATAAATCCTTGTTCGGGGCTCTTATATTTCCTATCATTCCCGTCAGCATGTATTTACATGTGCAAGCGATTGATAAATACTAGTTTAGGACCCAACGAAATTATGAAGAGCCGTGTACCATGCATTGTAAATATCAGCTCGCGACGGAGCTTGGTGCACGTGCAACAGCGACAGAGAACGTATTCCTCGTGCATCACGCAATAGCGACTCACGCAGTTTAAATATAGACAACAAAGAGTTCTGGTATTTTGTTCAAATATTTTCCACAACAGAATATTTTGTCAAAGTGTAAAAGTAAGGTCGAGTAACCCCCATATTTAACGCAGATTCGTAGCGCTCAGATCGTTTAGTTGATCGGGGCAATGGTGTTTATGGAAGTCAGAAGGCCTCTAAATAGCCCCGGCGTTTATCTGAGGTAGGTGGTATTGTTTCTGGTAATAAGAGGTAGTGACTTTGGTCATATGTCACACTCAGTGTCGATCTTGTCGATCTTGTCGATCTTCCCACATCGTATTCTACCTGTGAGTGCAGAGGCGTGTCCTCTCAGGGTACAAAGACTACCACCAGCTCAACCTGCAACACCTTGCATGAGACAGCGCGCATCTATTGTCCTCCATCTCGAGTGAGCTGAAACCTTACCGTCAAAGTTCTTCCCCAAAGAAACAACACAGAGGTTTTCGGCGTATTTGTGTTTGGTAAAATGAATAAATTGCCATTTCGTAGACGTCAGTTAACATGCCTGTCATTCGAAGTTGGTGAAACAATATGTTAAAAAAAATAGCATAGCCTCTCATGAAAACACACAACGAGTGAGTGAGTGAGTCAGTTAGTGTAACTGTTACACCATGGCGGGACGGCGTCATGTGGGAGGACAGCCCGATGTGATGAACCGTAGAAACCAAGCGACATATCCATGTTGAGTCGGGGATTCGAACCCACGATCATAAGCATCTGGTGCCACTAAGGGACGCATCACCCATGCTCTTATAAGTTCTTCGAGATCGAGATTACTTCGACATTGATGTTGTTTCGAGTTTGGGGGTGGAGTGGGTGGGTGGGTGGGTGGGGGAGGGGGGGGGGGGGGGGGGGGGGGGGACGCACGGGTGGCCCAGTCGTCTAAGGCGCCCCGATTCGCTGTGCAGACTTGCCAGCAACATATGATTGTAGGTTCGAATCCCAGTTCGCCCCGATTTTGTTTCTAGGTTTGTCAGCACCATACCCGTGCTCGTGGGTTTCACCGAAGTGGTAAACGACTGAGACCTGCATCACTTCAGGCTTTCCTCCCACATTAAGTTGACACGCCGTGATATATCCGGAATACTATTAAAAGCGGCGTTAAACCCAACTCACTCATTCACTCACGTTTTCGAGATTTTTGTATTTTGTGAATGTTGCATGTTACGCCTACCCAGGTTTTCCTCGGCCATTTGTCTCAGCTTCTTGATCGTCAACTCTCCGATCTTGTAGGAACACGCTTGCCCAGGCCACGTTATGTAGCGGTCCACCTCCACCTCCACGAATGGTCTCGCCTTGGCAGTGATGTTCAGCAGGTACTCAATGGCCTGCTCGCGGTCCCAGCTGTGCAACAGAACTTTGCTGAACACAACTGACAAGCTTTCTTCAGTGTTTGGTTACATGAAACATATTCTTGTTTCTTATCTTTGTATTAATGGGATAGGAGGTCTAATTATATTATTTTTATGTGTTTGTTGTTGTTTATCGCCACACTCAGCAATATTCCAGCTATATCGCGGCAGTCTTGAAATATTTGTGTCTGGATCAGACAATTCAGTGATTGGCATCAATAGTATCGATCCACACAATCGGGATACGATAACATGCATCAACTACATCAACGAGTCTGACCATGTTATCACGTTAGTCGACTCTCACGACAAGCGTAGGTTGATGAAGACCGACTCTAACCCGGATGTTCACGGGGGTCAGGCTCTTGGTCTTACTCTGCATCCAGACATCTTACCCGTAATAATGGATGCCTGTGTCCACAACGAGGCGCCCTGCTCGGAAGATCTCGGAGCTGTACCTTCCCATCCTGTGAGGGTAGACAACCAGAATACGTGTCATTGACAGTCAGGGGAGACAACCAGAATACACGTGTCATTAAACAGTCAGGGGAGACAACCAGAATACACGTGTCATTGTCAGTCAGGGGGGACAACCAGAATACACGTGTCATTGTCAGTCAGGGGGGACAACCAGAATACACGCGTCATTGTCAGTCAGGGGAGACAACCAGAATACACGCGTCATTGACAGTCAGGGGAGACAACCAAAATACACGTGTCATTGTCAGTCAGGGGAGACAACCAGAATACACGTGTCATTGACAGTCAGGGGAGACAACCAGAATACACGTGTCATTGTCAGTCAGGGGAGACAACCAGAATACACGTGTCATAGACAGTCAGGGGAGACAACCAGAATACACGTGTCATAGACAGTCAGGGGAGACAACCAGAATACACGTGTCATTGACAGTCAGGGGAGACAACCAGAATACACGTGTCATTGTCAGTCAGGGGAGACAACCACAATACGCGTGTCATTGACAGTCAGGGGAGACAACCAGAATATAAGTGTCATAGACAGTCAGGGGAGACAACCAGAATACACGTGTCATTGACAGTCAGGGGAGACAACCAGAATACACGTGTCATTGACAGTCAAGGGAGACAACCACAATACGCGTGTCATTGACAGTCAGGGGAGACAACCAGAATATAAGTGTCATGGACAGTCAGGGGAGACAACCAGAATACACGTGTCATTGACAGTCAGGGGAGACAACCAGAATACACGTGTCATTGACAGTCAGGGGAGACAACCAGAATACACGTGTCATTGACAGTCAGGGGAGACAACCACAATACGCGTGTCATTGACAGTCAGGGGAGACAACCAGAATACAAGTGTCATGGACAGTCAGGGGAGACAACCAGAATACACTTGTCATCGACAGTCAAGGGAGACAACAAGAATACACGTGTCACTGACATGCTCCTCACAGCGATAGCCCTTTCGCGGAGCTCTCTATACTATCGCTGCCACCAGTCAAAACTCCCCACTGTAAATAGGTGGCCACAACCATGCTTGGAATTGAACTCGGAACCGACTGACCGTTATGTTTACAAACAAGTGACGACTGTCGTGACGCCGAATACACTTATCGCTGCTAAATTACTTTCTTCGTGTGTCAATTTGAATTTCTATTCCATTAAAACTATCGTGTTATTAATATAGTACGAATGTAAGGGAGAAGTTGGTTGATTTTCGGTTAGTCTGCAATCTCGAACCAATCTGATTATTAAAACAACAAAGTAAGTTCATCTGGAAAACATGGTCAGTCGTAAACCATTTCAAAATGAAATGGCATTCCCAAAAACATAAACAAAAGTATCAACGTTACTACATTTGGGGTTAGAGGGTAAATTTCAAACTTCTTTTTAATGGCCGCGCCCACACTGGTGTCAGCGATGTTACCGAGAGTCTAACGAAGGTGTCACGCGCTGGGAAGGAGCTTGGTGTCACTGACAGTCAGGGGAGACAACCAGAGTACATGTGTCATTGACAGTCAGGGGAGGCAATCAGAGTACACGTGTCACTGACAGTCAGGGGAGACAACCAGAGTACATGTGTCATTGACACTCAGGGGAGACAACCAGAATACATGTGTCACTGACAGTCAGGGGGGACAACCAGAGTACACGTGTCACTGACAGTCAGGGGAGACAACCAGAGTACACGTGTCACTGACAGTCAGGGGAGACAACCAGAGTACATGTGTCACTGACAGTCAGGGGAGACAACCAGAGTACATGTGTCACTGACAGTCAGGGGAGACAACCAGAATACACGTGTCACTGACAGTCAGGGGAGGCAGTCAGAATACACGTGCCATCAAACAGTCAGGGGGGACAACCAGAGTACATGTGTCACTGACAGTCAGGGGAGACAACCAGAATACACGTGCCATCAAACAGTCAGGGGAGACAACCAGAGTACATGTGTCACTGACAGTCAGGGGAGGCAATCAGAATACACGTGTCACTGAAAGTCAGGTGAGACAACCAGAATACACGTGTCACTGACAGTCAGGGGAGGCAATCAGAATACACGTGTCACTGAAAGTCAGGGGAGACAACCAGAATACACGTGTCACTGACAGTCAGGGGAGGCAATCAGAATACACGTGTCACTGAAAGTCAGGTGAGACAACCAGAGTACATGTGTCACTGACAGTCAGGGGAAGCAATCAGAATACATTTGTCACTGACAGTCAGGGGAGACAACCAGAATACACGTGTCATTGACAGTCAGGGGAGACAACCAGAATACACGTGTCATTGACAGTCAGGGGAGACAACCAGAATACACGTGTCATTGACAGTCAGGGGAGACAACCAGAATACACGTGTCATTGACAGTCAGGGGAGACAACCAGAATACACGTGTCACTGACAGTCAGGGGAGACAACCAGAATACACGTGTCATTGACAGCCAGGGGAGACAACCAGAATACACGTGTCATTGACAGTCAGGGGAGACAACCAGAATACACGTGTCACTGACAGTCAGGGGAGACAACCAGAATACACGTGTCATTGACAGTCAGGGGAGACAACCAGAATACACGTGTCATTGACAGTCAGGGGAGACAACCAGAATACACGTGTCACTGACAGTCAGGGGAGACAACCAGAATACACTTGTCATTGACAGTCAGGGGAGACAACCAGAATACACGTGTCATTGACAGTCAGGGGAGACAACCAGAATACACGTGTCATTGACAGTCAGGGGAGACAACCAGAATACACGTGTCATTGACAGTCAGGGGAGACAACCAGAATACACGTGTCACTGACAGTCAGGGGAGACAACCAGAATACACGTGTCATATATGACATGTGTGCCAGGGGAGAGAATAAAGTGAGTGAGTTTGATTTTACGCCGATTTTACCAATATTCCAACAATATCACGGCGGGGGACACACATTGTACCCATATGGAGAATCGAAGCCGGGTTTTCGGCGTGACGAGCGAATGGTGTACCCCACCGCTTCGTGACACACACGAAGTATGGCCCCATTTGTCAAGTGTCCGTGACTGCGAATCTATCAGTCATACTATACAGAACAATGTCACAAAAACGAAACTGTCCGCATCAACAAGGGTCCTCGTACACAGACAAGATCAGGTTGAAGACACTCACAGTTCATACTCGTCCCGGTACAGCCCGAACTCCTCACCAAGCGACTCCGCATACAGTGCCCAGCCCTGCGGGAGAGTTGAGAGACAAATTCAACATTACGTCATCGATAACACACTGTCTTCTCCACCCATTCTATTGTGATAATATTTTGATGGCTTATGAATCCGTAGTTTTAGTGTCGTGCCTTTCGAATCGGGCTCAAAACGAGGCTATGGTGGTCGAATCGGGCTCAAAACGAGGCTGTGGTGGCGCATGGGCCAAGGTTGGTTATCATAATACAATGCATTGCACGTTACTCACACGATACAATCAATAACTTCTTTGATAGGCATTTAGAAGTTGGAGTACGATCAATGTTAAGACGGAAATCGGTTATTTCACATTACCATTTGTCACGAAGTAAAGACAGGGAGGTAACGTGTTAGTCACTGGCATTTGCGTCTGTTTCAGTGATATCTTCATTTATATAAACAAAATAGATTCTAAACACTTTCTTATCTCAAGAATTAAAATAATGTGTGAGCTCTCAAGAACATCCATTATAATAAACAAATTTGTTTGTGGGTATTCTCTTCATTTATAATAAACAAAATAGATTCTAAAACTTTCTTATCTCAAGAGTTAAAATAATATGTGAGCTCGCAAGAACATCCATTTTAATGAACAAATTGTATTGGGGTATTCTCTATGATAATTCATGACATAAGCAGACATTTTCGCACAAGCGCTATCGAGGTACACAGATCCAAGAACTATGGGCTTTATCCTCACTGCCACTGTCACCCTTGTTCGGTGGTTGTTTTTGTTAATCCCTGTATAAAGTGTACACCTATGTTCGGGAAACGCAGTCTAGGGGAGACAACTCTGTATGCCCGGTTTACCTCGACGAATGCCGTGTATGCGGGGAAGGAGTACGGCACTTGGTAGGTGTGTGGGTTTTCCATGTACTTCATAAATCGCGGGGTGTTGGCCGCCAAGGCAGAGCTGACCTGTGAAACACGTTGAATCATTTGAAATTCAGAATAAAGTGACCATTAATGACTACAGCCAACATCCAGGTCCATCCTATCTTCACAATCACTGACCCTACTGCTACAAGTAATGCCACATTGGTGAGTGAGTATGGTTTTACGCCGCTTTAAGCAATATTCCAGCAATAACACGGCGGGGGACACCAGAAATGGGCTTCACAGTCCGTCTGAGCATGGAGATATGTACACACTGACATATAGTGACTTCTTTGAGTGGCATATAGTGGTTGTCGATACATATATGTAATTATAGGATGAATATGAAGTGGTCTTCCAGCACAACTAACTTATTGAATTGTTTGATAGGCATAACTTGATGACAAGGCACACACAATCTAGGGCTAACAACCTCTTTATTACTGTAAGGCGACGTTTCGGTATAGATCCTAATATCGTTGTCAACAGAAGGATAATGCTGTCACAACATGAAGTACAGAGAACACATAGGTGGAAGGTATAGTTTGCATAGGTCTGGTGCATAGTATTATCCTTCTGTTGTCATTTCTGACTCCTGTCATCCCACTCATGTATGCAATTGTTGTTACTGTTAATCCTCCACCTACTATATATATTCTGTACAATGTTCCTCATTCAGTCTTGCTTGACAACGGTATAAGGATATATACCGAAACGCAATCTCATTAAAATCAGATCTTTAGGGGTAACGTCAGAACGACCTTTCATCCGACCAATCAGAGCGTCGCTTACCAGATCATGAAAGTGACAGTCGGAATGTGATTTCTAATCATGCAGCCTCGAAAACGTTAAAACGGGGTATTCCGAACGATAGTTACGGGCTCAACGACTGAATCTATACAATCTAAACCATATATTAGGCATTCTAGAACGTTCTTTTGTTCAGGTTTCAAATTTTTAAGCGAGAATTTGTCAAAATATGTTTCGAAGCGTAGTCGCCAATTTGCAATTATTGCCGTAAAGCACGAGAAAGCTGCCTTCTGATTGGCTAATGTCGACTTCTTGTCAGTAATTCAATTGGTCGGTCAGAGTTCGCTAACGGGGGGGCTGATGTGACCCGTAATTGGATGTCCTCAGATCTTTGTTTAGCGGCAGCGAGAACTAAGATCTGATTTTATTACGATTGACCGAAACGTCCCCATTACTTTAAAGATTTGGTCTACTTTGTCAACTAACTTGTTACCTGGAAGTGGTGGCCTGGGTTCGCTTCGTGCATCACCAGGGACATGAACGTGTACACGGGCCTGAAATAATCACCGCAGTGTTATAGTGTGTTGAACTTGACAGGGAAAACCTCAACTTGAGACGTTTATCCAAAGACAAATCGTCATTTGAATACGTGGAGTACATTAGTGTCCCGTTAAAAGGCGTGCATTTCATGGGAGTGCGTCTGCGAGTGGGTTATTTTGTTTGATCTGAAGTTGAAAAACATTATGTCGACATTGTTTCAACATTTATATAAGGGGTGCTTTGTTTAAAGCCAATCGCTTGCTAGCGATGTACAGCGATTCGTTTAACAACGGGGCGGTAACTTTCTGCTGCTTGCAATCGCACCAATCACTGGCTGAACTTGCTTCGCTCTCAAACCAAAATGGCGGCTGACGGTAATTAAAGTTGAGTTTGACGGTGGAATAAGATATTCATGACTGGATCAACTTGGAAACGGACAGAGGCAGCTAACAGCCTAGCCTCCCCAGTCTCCTCCACATCTTCAAAGTAGTGATCAATAGTCATCAACTCATCAACTCGTCATCGAGCTTCTTCTGGTACATTCTTCATTTGAGAAAGGCAACCATACGGTAGTTGCACTGCCATTTTGGAAGAGGTAGCAAGCGCTTCGAGCTTTTGCAGACCCCAGGGTGAGCGATGAATGTCAATACTCTGGACAATTCGTGGCTTTACAGCGCACCCCTGATGTTTATTGAACGTCGACATTTCAAGTTCATCACAATTTCAAATCCAAACCAAACTCACTGACTTTTCAAAGTTCAACATTTATGTCTGATTTCATCATCATCCCAGCTGTCATCATTGTCATTTCAACGTTGAAGCACTACATTGATTCAACATTGGTTCAACTTTGTCCTGCCCGTCGGGAAAAATATTCACATACGGCGCAAAAGGAGGGTAACATCTCAAGAGTGAGTGAGCATGGTTTTTAACCAATACTCCAGGACTATCGCGGCGGGGGCGCCACCAGCAATGGGCGATACACATTGTACCCATGTGGAATATCGAACTCGGGCCTTCGGCGTTACGAGCGAACGCTTCAACCACTAGATTACATCACCCAACCCCGATCACTCGTAACCTTCCAGCCACACCCCATCCCATCCCATCCCATCCCATCCCATCCCACCCCAACACACCCCACCACACCACAGAACACGTACATGCTCCGGGGGTGCATCACATTGGCGTAGAAAATGCCGGGGACTGTTCCGTCTGGGGTGGGGAGTGAGTAGCGCCCTGCCGGGCCGTCAGACATCATCGACACCACTCTGAAACATCAACAGCGACCATCAGCTATCATCGACACCACTCTGAAACATACACAGGGACCATCAGACATCATCGACACCACTCTGAAACATACACAGGGACCATCAGACATCATCGACACCACTCTGAAACATACACAGGGACCATCAGTCATCATCGATACCACTCTGAAAAAAACAACAGCGACCACCAAACATCAAACATCATCGATACCACTCTGAAACATCAACAGGGAAACTCAACCATCATCGACACCACTCTGAAACATCCTGAAGGACCATCAGACATCATCGCCACCACTCTGAAAAAAAAAACAGCGACCATCAAACATCATCGATACCACACTGAAACAACAACAGCGACCATCAAACATCATCGATACCACAATGAAACAACAACAGCGACCATCAAACATCATCGATACCACACTGAAACAACAACAGCGACCATCAGACATCATCGACACCACTCTCAAACATCAACAGCGACCATCAGCCATCATCGACACCACTCTGAAACATCAACAGCGACCATCAGTCACCACCAACACCACTCTGAAACATCAACAGCGACCATCAGTCACCACCAACACCACTCTGAAACATCAACAGCGACCATCAGTCACCATCAACACCACTCTGAAACATCAACAGCGACCATCAGCCTCCATCGACACCACTCTGAAACATCCCCAGGGACCATCAGCTATCATCGACACCACACTGAAACATCAAGAGCGACCATCAGACATCATCGACACCACTCTGAAACATACACAGGGACCATCAAACATCATCGACACCACTCTGAAACATCCACAGGAACCATCAGACATCATCGACACCACTCTGAAACATCAACAGGAACCATCAGACATCATCGACACCACTCTGAAACATCCACAGGGACCATCAGACATCATCGACACCACTCTGAAACATCAACAGCGACCATCAGACATCATCGACACCACTCTGAAACATCAACAGAGACCATCAGACATCATCGATACCACTCTGAAACATCCACAGGGACCATCAGCTATCATCGAAACCACTCTGAAACATCAACAGAGACCATCAAACATCATCGACACCACTCTGAAACATCCACAGGGACCATCAGACATCAACGACACCACTCTGAAACATCAACAGCGCCCATCAGACATCATCGACACCACTCTGAAACATCAACAGCGACCATCAGCTATCATCGACACCACTCTGAAACATCAACAGCAACCATCAGTCACCACCAACACCACTCTGAAACATCAACAGCGACCATCAGCCTCCATCGACACCACTCTGAAACATCCCCAGGGACCATCAGCTATCATCGACACCACACTGAAACATCAACAGCGACCATCAGACATCATCGACACCACTCTGAAACATCAACAGAGACCATCAGCTATCATCGACACCACTCTGAAACAGACACAGGGACCATCAGTCATTATCGACACCACTATGAAACATCCACAGGGACCATCAGCCTCCATCGACACCACACTGAAACATACACAGGGACCATCAGTCATCATCGACACCACTCTGAAACATCCACAGGGACCATCAAACATGATCGACACCACTCTGAAACATCCACAGGGACCATCAGCTATCATCGACACCACTCTGAAACATCCACAGCGACCATCAGACATCATCGACACCACTCTGAAACATCAACAGCGACCATCAGACATCATCGACACCACTCTGAAACATCAACAGCGACCATCAGCCTCCATCGACACCACACTGAAACATACACAGGGACCATCAGTCATCATCGACACCACTCTGAAACATACACAGGGACCATCAAACATCATCGACACCACTCTGAAACATCCACAGGGACCATCGGCTATCATCGACACCACACTGAAACATCCACAGGGACCATAAGACATCATCGACACCACTCTGAAACATCAACAGCGACCATCAGACATCATCGACACCACTCTGAAACATCAACAGCAACCTTAAGCCTCCATCGACACCACTCTGAAACATCAACAGTGACCATCAGCCTCCATCGACACCACTCTGAAACATCAACAGCAACCATAAGCCTCCATCGACACCACTCTGAAACATCAACAGAGACCATCAAACATCATCGACACCACTCTGAAACATCAACAGAGACCATCAGCTATCATCGACACCACTCTGAAACATACACAGGGACCATCAGTCATTATCGACACCACTCTGAAACATCCACAGGGACCATCAGCCATCATCGACATCACTCTGAAACATCCACAGGGACCATCAGCTATCATCGACACCACTCTGAAACATCCACAGGAACCATCAGACATCATCGCCACCACTCTGAAACATCCACAGGGACCATCAGCTATCATCGACACCACTCTGAAACATCAACAGGGAAACTCAACCATCATCGACACCACTCTGAACATCCACAGGGACCATCAGCTATCATCGACACCACTCTGAAACATCAACAGCGACCATCAGCTATCATCGACACCACTCTGAAACATCCACAGGGACCATCAGCTATCATCGACACCACACTGAAACATACACAGGGACCATCAGTCATCATCGACACCACTCTGAAACATCCACAGGGACCATCAGCCATCATCGACACCACTCTGAAACATCCACAGCGACCATCAAACATCATCAACACCACTCTGAAACATCCACAGCGACCATCAGACATCATCGACACCACTCTGAAACATTAACAGCGACAACAGACATCATCGACACCACTCTGAAACATCAACAGCGACCATCAGTCACCATCAACACCACTCTGAAACATCAACAGCGACCATCAGCCTCCATCGACACCACACTGAAACATACATAGGGACCATCAGTCATCATCGACACCACTCTGAAACATCAACAGGGACCATCAAACATCATCGACACCACTCTGAAACATCCACAGGGACCATCGGCTATCATCGACACCACACTGAAACATCCACAGGGACCATAAGACATCATCGACACCACTCTGAAACATCAACAGCGACCATAAGCCTCCATCGACACCACTCTGAAACATCAACAGCGACCATCAGCCTCCATCGACACCACTCTGAAACATCCACAGGGACCATCAGCCACCATCGACACCACTCTGAAACATACACAGGGACCATCAAACATCATCGACACCACTCTGAAACATCCACAGGGACCATCAGACATCATCGACACCACTCTGAAACATCAACGGCGACCATCAGTTATCATCGACACCACTCTGAAACATACACAGGGACCATCAGTCATCATCGACACCACTCTGAAACATACACAGGGACCATCAGTCATCATCGACACTACTCTGAAACATCAACAGGAACCATCAAACATCATCGACACCACTCTGAAACATCCACAGGGACCATCAGCCATCATCGACACCACTCTGAAACATACACAGGGACCATCAGCCATCATCGACACCACTCTGAAACATACACAGGAACCATCAGACATAATCGACACCACTCTGAAACATCCACAGGAACCATCAACAGGAACATAATCAACACCTCTCTGAAACATACACAGGAACCATCAGACATAATCGACACCACTCTGAAACAACAACAGCGACCATCAACCATCATCGACACCACTCTGAAACATACACAGGAACCATCAACCATCATCGACACCACTCTGAAACATACACAGGAAACATCAAACATATTCGACACCACTCTGAAACATCAACAGGAACCATCAACAGGAACATAATCAACACCTCTCTGAAACATACACAGGAACCATCAGACATAATCGACACCACTCTGAAACAACAACAGCGACCATCAACCATCATCGACACCACTCTGAACATACACAGGAACCATCAGACATAATAGACACCACTCTGAAACAACAACAGGAACCATCAACCATCATCGACACCACTCCGAAACATCAGGGACCATTAGATATCATGGACACAACCCTTCGAGGAAAGTAACACTGAGCGTTACATGTGGTACACGTGGCAAGTAGGTCCTGTAGGTGGAAGGGGACACAGAGCGTTATATGTGGTACACGTGGCAAGTAGGTCCTGTAGGTGGAAGGGGACACAGAGCGTTACATGTGGTACACGTGGCAAGTAGGTCCTGTAGGTGGAAGGGGACACTGAGCGTTACATGTGGTACACGTGGCAAGTAGGTCCTGTAGGTGGAAGGGGACACTGAGCGTTACATGTGGTACACGTGGCAAGTAGGTCCTGTAGGTGGAAGGGGACACTGAGCGTTACACGTGGCAAGTAGGTCCTGTAGGTGGAAGGGGACACTGAGCGTTACATGTGGTACACGTGGCAAGTAGGCCCTGTAGGTGGAAGGGGACACTGAGCGTTACATGTGGTACACGTGGCAAGTAGGTCCTGTAGGTGGAAGGGGACACTGAGCGTTACATGTGGTACACGTGGCAAGTAGGCCCTGTAGGTGGAAGGGGACACTGAGCGTTACATGTGGTACACGTGGCAAGTAGGTCCTGTAGGTGGAAGGGGACACTGAGCGTTACATGTGGTACACGTGGCAAGTAGGCCCTGTAGGTGGAAGGGGACACTGAGCGTTACATGTGGTACACGTGGCAAGTAGGTCCTGTAGGTGGAAGGGGACACTGAGCGTTACATGTGGTACTCGTGGCAAGTAGGTCCTGTAGGTGGAAGGGGACACTGAGCGTTACATGTGGTACACGTGGCAAGTAGGTCCTGTAGGTGGAAGGGGACACTGAGCGTTACATGTGGTACACGTGGCAAGTAGGTCCTGTAGGTGGAAGGGGACACTGAGCGTTACATGTGGTACACGTGGCAAGTAGGTCCTGTAGGTGGAAGGGGACACTGAGCGTTACATGTGGTACACGTGGCAAGTAGGTCCTGTAGGTGGAAGGGGACACTGAGCGTTACATGTGGTACACGTGGCAAGTAGGTCCTGTAGGTGGAAGGGGACACTAAGCGTTACATGTGGTACACGTGGCAAGTAGGTCCTGTAGGTGGAAGGGGACACTGAGCGTTACATGTGGTACACGTGGCAAGTAGGTCCTGTAGGTGGAAGGGGACACTGAGCGTTACATGTGGTACTCGTGGCAAGTAGGTCCTGTAGGTGGAAGGGGACACTGAGCGTTACATGTGGTACACGTGGCAAGTAGGTCCTGTAGGTGGAAGGGGACACTGAGCGTTACATGTGGTACACGTGGCAAGTAGGTCCTGTAGGTGGAAGGGGACACTGAGCGTTACATGTGGTACACGTGGCAAGTAGGTCCTGTAGGTGGAAGGGGACACTGAGCGTTACATGTGGTACACGTGGCAAGTAGGTCCTGTAGGTGGAAGGGGGCACTGAGCGTTACATGTGGTACACGTGGCAAGTAGGTCCTGTAGGTGGAAGGGGGCACTGAGCGTTACATGTGGTACACGTGGCAAGTAGGTCCTGTAGGTGGAAGGTAACACTCACTGGATATCATACTTCGGCATTTCGTTGAACATCTCCGGAAGGTAAGGATTGATTCGGTCCGTGATCATAGACCGGAACTCCTCCAAAATGTCCGCCTGTACAGAGAACGGTGCGTAAGGGCGGGCCTTTCTCAGAGAAAGCATCTCTATCGGTCAATGAATCAAGACATTCCTCCGAAGAGAGGAGCAACATAATTCATATAAACAACACATCTAGTAGACATTTAAATTTAAAACTGAGAATGTGTACTCGCGACGGTTCATGGATACGTCCTGAGCCTCACATGGATTGCGTAATAGTGAAATATTATGGCATGAAGATTTTGTCAACAAAAATTGAGGGTCATTTAAGTAAATTGGTTCGCTGTGACAGAAGCAGGACGTGTGCTAGTCAAACTCCCGTAACATCTCTACATGTATCGTCTTGGGTAGCTCGTTTCCGGATTATAATTAGCGAGGCTAAGTGTCAGTATAGAATCACTAACCGGATCATTTTTGAAGAAGCGCGGGTCCTCGCTCAGTGACTGGAAGTATTCCGCGATTGTCCCCGTGAAATTCTGGCTTTCGATAATCTAAAAACAAAACAATACATCAGTTGAGGTACAAATTGATGTATAAGTGTCACTAGTTCACGTGACTATCCCACTGCACAACTAGCGGCAAATGTAGCCCTTTTACAAATGTTCTTCGGTATCAATTTACAAACATGCTGACCCAAAATTAAACCGTTTCACAAATTGGGCTGCCGAGCTGTGGGAACTATGTGTGGAGGATGTCGGGATGCGATTTACACTGACGAGATGTAATACCGCCATCACACAGCTGTCCGGGGTAGATAATGGAAGAAGTCCTAGGGTCCTGGTCATATATATCCGTGAACCAGGGGAGACAATTCTGGTCACCCACCTCATTCATATTCCCCTTGATCCGCTCGACCTCCCTCAATCCCAGTTCATGCACTTCCTCGGCGGTGAGATTGACGGACGTGTGCCACCTCAGACACGCCTCGTAGTAGTCCTTGTTGACACCGTAGCTGCGCCTGGTGCGTGGGATGTACGTCTGGGTGATAAAGATTACATGAAGAGAGTGAGTGAGTGAGTGAGTTCGGTTTAACGCCGTTTTTATCATTATTCCAGTTATACCACGGCGTGTCAGCTTAATGTGGGAGGAAAGCCCGAAGTGATGCATGTCTCAGACGTTTACCACTTCGGTGAAACCCACAAGCACGGGTATTGTGTTGACAAACCTATAAACATAATCGGGGCGAACCGGGATTCGAACCCACAATCATAGGTTTCTGGGGTTTCCAAGGGACGCAACTCTCCACAGCGAATCGAGGCGCCTAAGACGACTGGGCCACCCGTGCCCCCTGACATGAGGTGAGGTGAGGTGAGGTGAAATTGGGTTTAACGTCACGTCCAAGAATATTGCACTTGTATAGCGACGTTGCATGCACGTGTGTGTGTGGCTGCTTGTACTAGTCCGGACTGATGCCGATTTATGGTGCTAGCTCACTGAGATACCATGCCGCAGTTTAACATGAATACCCCACTCAGACACAGTATACTGACTCGAGCCGCCAGACAGGGTAACAACAAGTACCATATTTTAACGTCTTTTGGTATGACGCGGCTGGGGATCGAACCCCGAACCTTCCGCTCTCCGGGCGGACTCCCCCTGACATGAAGAGAATAGACATTATTATGATGTAGTAAGACGAAGATGATGATGATGATGATGATGATGATGATGATGATGATAAAATATTCGACAAAATCATCGTTAATACGTCATGATCTAATAATGGTCATAGTTTTTGGAGTGATAGAAAGGGCATATAAGTATACGGATGTGTTGTGTTTTTTTGCCATAAACAAACAGCTACCTTCAAAGTGTCATTCTAATCCCAACATGGTGAGTGAGTGAGTGAATGCTGTTAGAGGTATCAGTGAGCTAGAGAGGGTGGCAGCCTACACATAATCGAGTTCGAATCCCTGATTTCCCGCGATAAGGATCCTCGGTTTGTCAGCACCTTACTCACTGGGGCTCGCGTTGGTCTCACTATAGAGATTCCTCTCACGTGCACCTGAAGGAAAGGCTGAACGTATGCGTCCCAAAATGGCTGCGCTTGTATTCAAACATACACCGTGTGGATTCTCATTTGGAGATTTATGGCCAGTTATCTTACCGCTCGGAGCCAGTTGAGAAACACCCGGTAGGCCTGAAGCACCTTCCGGACCATCTCGTAGCCATTACGACGGATGTCGCTCCTGGAACAACACAACAGGGAAGTCAGCATCCGTGTCTGCATCATTTACGTGGCATGTGTGCGTGTGCGTGCGTGTGTTTTTGTGTTTTGTTTTGGTCTCTGTGTGTAGTGCGTGTGTGTATTTGTGTATTGTGTTTGTGTGTGTCTGTGTGTTTGTATTGTGTGTGTCTGTGTATTGTGTTTGTAAGTCTCTGTGTCTGTGTGTTTGTATTGTATGTAGTGTCTTTTGCGGGTCTGTGTGTGTAGTGTGTGTGTGTTTATGTATTGTGTATTGTGTGTTTGTATTGTGTGTGTCTGTGTCTGTGTGTGTAGAGTGTGTGGTGGGTTTTGCGGGTCTGTGTGTGGTTTTTGTGTAGTGTGTTTGTGTGTGTAGTGTGTTTTGTTGGTCTGTGTGTGTAGTGTGTGTGTGTGTGTGTGTGTGTGGTTGTTTGTATATGGTTGTCTGTGTGTATATGAGTAGTGCGTTTGTGTGTGTATATATGTGTCTGTGTGTCTGTGTGTATGTGTGTGTGTAAGTGTGTATGTATGTGTGTATGCGTGCCTATATGTGTATGGATGTTTGTATGTGTGTCCGTGCGTGTATGTGTGAATATGTGTGTATGTGTGTGCGTATGTAAGTGTCCGAGTATGTGTTCATGTAAGTGTGTGTGTGTGTGTGTGTGTGTGTGTGTGTGTGTGTGTGTGTGTGTGTGTGTGTGTGTGTGTGTGTGTGTGTGTGTGTGTGTTTTAGTAGGTATGTGTGTATGTAAGTGTGTGAGAGTATGTGCGTATGTTTGTGTGTAAGTATGTGTTGGTAAATGTGTGTTAGTGAGTGTGAGTGTGTATGTTAGCTCACTCACTCACTCACCCACTCACTCACTCACCCACCCACCCACTCACTCACTCACTCACTCACTCACTCGCTCACCCATGCACGCACACCATTAGGTCGTCAGTGAAAGTAGATACTTGCGCTGACACTATCATGAACATATCAAGGAGCGCCAAACATCGATACAACTGTTGAGTATGTCCTGCAAAAACGATAAACACATATATATTCTTGGTCCTATTTTGCCATTTTGAAATACTACTCTCTTCCACCAGCGTCAATGACGACGGAGCAACAACACTAGCAGCAATCGACACACAGCGATAGACCACACGACAGCAGCAATGGAACGAAAAAAGGTGTCTCAGCTCCCTGGGAAACATTTACTGTCAGAATTCCAAACTTAATGGACCATGAAACGATGATCGGACTCCGATTCCCACGCGGTGTGGAGACGAGATAAGCGACAGAGAATGTCAGTCCTGTACTTCTCCTCAAGGCCATCAGGTTTCTTTCCAACTCTTATTTGTATCTGATTCAATTAAATACCGCATCCACGAACACGTCCTTCCTCGCGATTATTTTCTTCAGGGAGAAACGTGATGCATGCCAAGGTAAACATGACTGAGTTCCTGCTGACTCGACCCTATATGACACTATGTCTATCAGCGCCTCCGCACCGGTACTGTATAGACAGTGTTTACACAGAACACAACACCGTTCCGTGAGGTAATCACAATGGCTGCACGTGGAACCGACTTGGCACAGCGGGGGCGGCGAGGTACATCTCTAATTGTGTTCTCCGCCCCGCACAGCGAACTTGGAGCCGTTGTGAAGGCTACGTGCCTCGTTAAGAGGTATCTAGCTTGTTGTAGCGTCATAATGTTTGTTTGCTTGTTGTTTAACGCCGCACTCAGCAATATTCCAGCAATATGACGGCCGCCTGTAATAATCGAGTCTGGACCAGACAAACCAGTGATTGACATCACGAGCATCGATCCATGTAATTGGGATCGATGACATGCATCAAGCAAGTCAGCGCGCCTGACCACCCGATCCCGTAAGTCACCTCTTACGACAAGCATACATGTAGTCGCCTGTTACGGCAAGCATGGATTGCTGAAAACCTATTCTACCCCGGATCTTAACGAAGGGCGACCGGTATTGGCTGCTGAAGACCTATTCTACCCCGGATCTTAACGAAGGGCGACCGGTATTGGTTGCTGAAGACCTCACGATTCTCCAGGGCGACCGGTATTGGTTGCTGAAGACCTATTCTACCCCGGATCTTAACGAAGGGCGACCGGTATTGGCTGCTGAAGACCTATTCTACCCCGGATCTTAACGAAGGGCGACCGGTATTGGTTGCTGAAGACCTATTCTACCCCGGATCTTAACGAAGGGCGACCGGTATTGGTTGCTGAAGACCTATTCTATCCCGGATCTTCACGGGGGGGGGGGGGGGGGAGACCGGTATTGGTTGCTGAAGACCTATTCTATCCCGGATCTTCACGGGGGGAGACAGTCAAGGTTTGCAATCTTGGCTCTACACATCAAATCGTCGGCCTTTAACTGACTGAGTATGGTTTTACGCCTTTTAGCAATATTCCAGCAATATCACGGCGGGGGACACCAGAAATGGGCTTCACACATTGTACCCATGTCGGGAATCGAACCCGGGTCTTCGGCGTGACGAGCTAACGCCTTAACCACTAGGCTACCCGACCGCCACGTCGGCCTTTAAGAAACAACTGCTTGTCGATGTATGGAAGGTAAAGTAATATGAGTACTGGAAGTGTGTGTCGACACCCAGTATACAGACAAACCTGTGTTACTTACTGATAAAAGAGAGAGGAGGGGGTTAGGGGGACGTGGGGGCACAATTCACGAGCCCGTAGATGTTGTCGTTTCAGATTGATGCAGGTGGAGTCGTTGATGAGGCAGACGGGGCACAACTCCTGGGAGATGGGAGATGTACACTGGGTGTGATGTATATCGTGTATAGACAACTAAAAACATGATTGCATCATGAATCTCGCTGCGCCGTGACGCCACGTGGAGATGTGTATTCTCCTATATTTGTTTCTTTTCTGTGGCTTCTTTTCCTAGCAGCCGATTCTCCATCATGTAAGATGATGATGACAGCCGTCCTTCACGGCGCAGTCTCATTCCTCTTTCAAGCAGGTCGTGATTCATTCGCGCTCAGGTATTGGGAATAACACTTACCATAACTAATATCACACAGTGGTTATTAGAATATAGGATTGTTGATTCCGATAGACACATGCAGGCGGTATCCTCCAGGCCTGGGCATGCAACTGTACTGACGGATGGGGGGTAGGGAGTGTTGAGTGTGAGGGAGGTGTGTGGGATGGGTAAAGTTTGGTGCAGCGGGAGGCGTGTGGCGTGGTGGCGTGTGGCGTGGCGGTGTGTGGCGTGGTGGCGTGTGGCGTGGCGGTGTGTGGCGTGTGGCGTGTTGCGTGGCGGTGTGTGGCGTGGTGGCGTGTGGCGTGGCGGTGTGTGGCGTGGTGGCGTGTGGCGTGGTGGCGTGTGGCGTGGTGGCGTGTGGCGTGTGGCGTGGCGGTGTGTGGCGTGGTGGCGTGTGGCGTGGTGGCGTATGGCATGCTGGTGTTGCGGTTCGTGGGGTGGCGTGTCGGTGTGTGGCATGGTGGCGTGTGGCGTGTTGCGTGTGGCGTGTGGCGTGGTGGCGTGTGGCGTGGCGTTGTGTGGCGTGGCAGTGTGACATGGTGGCGTATGGCATGATGGTGTGGCGGTTCGTGGCGTGGCGGTGTGTGTCGTGGCGATGTGAGGCGTGGCAGTGTGACATAGTGGCGTGATGGCGTGTGGCATGATGGTGTGGCGGTTCGTAGCGTGGCGTAGCGTGGCGTGGCGTGGCGTGGCGCATGCTTCTGTATAGCGTATCAGCGCTTCTGTATATAGTATACACCTGTGCATAAGGACCACCCACAATGTTATAAATGTGTTATCTTTACATTGACTGTAATTTGTTCACGTTGTATGTATACATTATTGACACAGTAGCATGTAATGTACACTTGCACCCACACCTCAGTAACAGGTTACCGACCACTTTCTCACAGTTTACTAACCTTTCCAAAAGATGTTACATTTTCAATTTCAACCAAGTTACGTTGTGTGACGTCCCAATTCGTTACGACCGGCATAAGTTGAAGGGAACAAACCCACGTGAACATCTGTGGCTGATACAGACACGCCCATGCCACCACCTACCACTGGTCCTCAGGGATGCTGGAGTCCTTCAGCATGATGAAGGGGATGAAGAAGACGGACTTGGTGATGTCTCCGACAGACATCAGCTCGATCTGCGTCTCCAACCGACTCTGTACAAACAGGGCATACAATGTCAATACAGTGTGTCTCCTAACCGACTCTGTACAACAGGGCATACAATGTCAATACAGCATACAGTGTGTCTCCTAACCGACTCTGTACAAACAGGGCATACAATGTCAATACAGTGTGTCTCCTAACCGACACTGTACAAACAGGGCATACATTGTCAATACAGCATACAGTGTGTCTCCTAACCGACTCTGTACAAACAGGGCATACAATGTCAATACAGTGTGTCTCCTAACCGACTCTGTACAAACAGGGCATACAATGTCAATACAGCATACAGTGTGTCTCCTAACCGACTCTGTACAAACAGGGCATACAATGTCAATACAGTGTGTCTCCTAACCGACTCTGTACAAACAGGGCATACAATGTCAATACAGCATACAGTGTGTCTCCTAACCGACTCTGTACAAACAGGGCATACAATGTCAATACAGCAGACATTGTGTCTCCTAACCGACTCTGTTCAAACAGGGCATACAATGTCAATACAGCATACAGTGTGTCTCCTAACCGACTCTGTACAAACAGGGCATACAATGTCAATACAGTGTGTCTACAACCGACTCTGTACAAACAGGGCATACAATGTCAATACAGCATACAGTGTGTCTCCTAACCGACTCTGTACAAACAGGGCATACAATGTCAATACAGCATACAGTGTGTCTCCTAACCGACTCTGTACAAACAGGGCATACAATGTCAATACAGTGTGTCTCCTAACCGACTCTGTACAAACAGGACATACAATGTCAATACAGTGTGTCTCCGAACCGACTCTGTACAAACAGGGCATACAATGTCAATACAGCAGACATTGTGTCTCCTAACCGACTCTGTTCAAACAGGGCATACAATGTCAATACAGCATACAGTGTGTCTCCTAACCGACTCTGTACAAACAGGACATACAATGTCAATACAGCATACAGTGTGTCTCCTAACCGACTCTGTACAAACAGGGCATACAATGTCAATACAGCATACAGTGTGTCTCCTAACTGACTCTGTACAAACAGGTCATACAATGTCAATACAGCATACAGTGTGTCTCCTAACTGACTCTGTACAAACAGGGCATACAATGTCAATACAGTGTGTCTCCTAACCGACTCTGTACAAACAGGGCATACAATGTCAATACAGTGTGTCTCCTAACCGACTCTGTTCAAACAGGGCATACAATGTCAATACAGCATACAGTGTGTCTCCTAACTGACTCTGTACAAACAGGGCATACAATGTCAATACAGTGTGTCTCCTAACCGACTCTGTACAAACAGGGCATACAATGTCAATACAGTGTGTCTCCTAACCGACTCTGTACAAACAGGACATACAATGTCAATACAGCATACATTGTGTCTCCTAACCGACTCTGTTCAAACAGGGCATACAATGTCAATACAGCATACAGTGTGTCTCCTAACCGACTCTGTACAAACAGGACATACAATGTCAATACAGCATACAGTGTGTCTCCTAACTGACTCTGTACAAACAGGGCATACAATGTCAATACAGCATACAGTGTGTCTCCTAACCGACTCTGTACAAACAGGGCATACAATGTCAATACAGTGTGTCTCCTAACCGACTCTGTACAAACAGGGCATACAATGTCAATACAGCATACAGTGTGTCTCCTAACCGACTCTGTACAAACAGGGCATACAATGTCAATACAGTGTGTCTCCTAACCGACTCTGTACAAACAGGGCATACAATGTCAATACAGCATACAGTGTGTCTCCTAACCGACTCTGTACAAACAGGGCATACAATGTCAATACAGTGTGTCTCCTAACCGACTCTGTACAAACAGGGCATACAATGTCAATACAGCAGACATTGTGTCTCCTAACCGACTCTGTTCAAACAGGGCATACAATGTCAATACAGCATACAGTGTGTCTCCTAACCGACTCTGTACAAACAGGGCATACAATGTCAATACAGTGTGTCTACAACCGACTCTGTACAAACAGGGCATACAATGTCAATACAGCATACAGTGTGTCTCCTAACCGACTCTGTACAAACAGGGCATACAATGTCAATACAGCATACAGTGTGTCTCCTAACCGACTCTGTACAAACAGGACATACAATGTCAATACAGTGTGTCTCCTAACCGACTCTGTACAAACAGGACATACAATGTCAATACAGTGTGTCTCCGAACCGACTCTGTACAAACAGGGCATACAATGTCAATACAGCAGACATTGTGTCTCCTAACCGACTCTGTTCAAACAGGGCATACAATGTCAATACAGCATACAGTGTGTCTCCTAACCGACTCTGTACAAACAGGACATACAATGTCAATACAGCATACAGTGTGTCTCCTAACTGACTCTGTACAAACAGGGCATACAATGTCAATACAGCATACAGTGTGTCTCCTAACTGACTCTGTACAAACAGGGCATACAATGTCAATACAGCATACAGTGTGTCTCCTAACTGACTCTGTACAAACAGGGCATACAATGTCAATACAGTGTGTCTCCTAACCGACTCTGTACAAACAGGGCATACAATGTCAATACAGTGTGTCTCCTAACCGACTCTGTTCAAACAGGGCATACAATGTCAATACAGCATACAGTGTGTCTCCTAACTGACTCTGTACAAACAGGGCATACAATGTCAATACAGTGTGTCTCCTAACCGACTCTGTACAAACAGGGCATACAATGTCAATACAGTGTGTCTCCTAACCGACTCTGTACAAACAGGGCATACAATGTCAATACAGTGTGTCTCCTAACCGACTCTGTACAAACAGGACATACAATGTCAATACAGCAGACATTGTGTCTCCTAACCGACTCTGTTCAAACAGGGCATACAATGTCAATACAGCATACAGTGTGTCTCCTAACCGACTCTGTACAAACAGGACATACAATGTCAATACAGCATACAGTGTGTCTCCTAACTGACTCTGTACAAACAGGGCATACAATGTCAATACAGCATACAGTGTGTCTCCTAACCGACTCTGTACAAACAGGGCATACAATGTCAATACAGTGTGTCTCCTAACCGACTCTGTACAAACAGGGCATACAATGTCAATACAGCATACAGTGTGTCTCCTAACCGACTCTGTACAAACAGGGCATACAATGTCAATACAGCATACAGTGTGTCTCCTAACTGACTCTGTACAAACAGGGCATACAATGTCAATACAGCATACAGTGTGTCTCCTAACCGACTCTGTACAAACAGGGCATACAATGTCAATACAGTGTGTCTCCTAACCGACTCTGTACAAACAGGGCATACAATGTCAATACAGCATACAGTGTGTCTCCTAACCGACTCTGTACAAACAGGGCATACAATGTCAATACAGTGTGTCTCCTAACCGACTCTGTACAAACAGGGCATACAATGTCAATACAGCATACAGTGTGTCTCCTAACCGACTCTGTACAAACAGGGCATACAATGTCAATACAGTGTGTCTCCTAACCGACTCTGTTCAAACAGGGCATACAATGTCAATACAGTGTGTCTCCTAACCGACTCTGTACAAACAGGGCATACAATGTCAATACAGTGTGTCTCCTAACCGACACTGTACAAACAGGGCATACAATGTCAATACAGCATACAGTGTGTCTCCTAACCGACTCTGTACAAACAGGGCATACAATGTCAATACAGTGTGTCTCCTAACCGACTCTGTACAAACAGGGCATACAATGTCAATACAGCATACAGTGTGTCTCCTAACTGACTCTGTACAAACAGGGCATACAATGTCAATACAGCAGACATTGTGTCTCCTAACCGACTCTGTTCAAACAGGGCATACAATGTCAATACAGCATACAGTGTGTCTCCTAACCGACTCTGTACAAACAGGGCATACAATGTCAATACAGTGTGTCTACAACCGACTCTGTACAAACAGGGCATACAATGTCAATACAGCATACAGTGTGTCTCCTAACCGACTCTGTACAAACAGGGCATACAATGTCAATACAGCATACAGCGTGTCTCCTAACCGACTCTGTACAAACAGGGCATACAATGTCAATACAGTGTGTCTCCTAACCGACTCTGTTCAAACAGGACATACAATGTCAATACAGTGTGTCTCCGAACCGACTCTGTACAAACAGGGCATACAATGTCAATACAGCAGACATTGTGTCTCCTAACCGACTCTGTTCAAACAGGGCATACAATGTCAATACAGCATACAGTGTGTCTCCTAACCGACTCTGTACAAACAGGACATACAATGTCAATACAGCATACAGTGTGTCTCCTAACTGACTCTGTACAAACAGGGCATGCAATGTCAATACAGCATACAGTGTGTCTCCTAACTGACTCTGTACAAACAGGGCATACAATGTCAATACAGCATACAGTGTGTCTCCTAACTGACTCTGTACAAACAGGGCATACAATGTCAATACAGTGTGTCTCCTAACCGACTCTGTACAAACAGGGCATACAATGTCAATACAGTGTGTCTCCTAACCGACTCTGTACAAACAGGGCATACAATGTCAATACAGTGTGTCTCCTAACCGACTCTGTACAAACAGGACATACAATGTCAATACAGCAGACATTGTGTCTCCTAACCGACTCTGTTCAAACAGGGCATACAATGTCAATACAGCATACAGTGTGTCTCCTAACCGACTCTGTACAAACAGGACATACAATGTCAATACAGCATACAGTGTGTCTCCTAACTGACTCTGTACAAACAGGGCATACAATGTCAATACAGCATACAGTGTGTCTCCTAACTGACTCTGTACAAACAGGGCATACAATGTCAATACAGTGTGTCTCCTAACCGACTCTGTTCAAACAGGGCATACAATGTCAATACAGCATACAGTGTGTCTCCTAACTGACTGTGTACAAACAGGGCATACAATGTCAATACAGTGTGTCTCCTAACCGACTCTGTTCAAACAGGGCATACAATGTCAATACAGCATTCAGTGTGTCTCCTAACCGACTCTGTACAAACAGGACATACAATGTTAATACAGCATACAGTGTGTCTCCTAACTGACTCTGTACAAACAGGGCATACAATGTTAATACAGCATACAGTGTGTCTCCTAACTGACTCTGTACAAACAGGGCATACAATGTCAATACAGCATTCAGTGTGTCTCCTAACCGACTCTGTACAAACAGGACATACAATGTTAATACAGCATACAGTGTGTCTCCTAACTGACTCTGTACAAACAGGACATACAATGTTAATACAGCATACGGTGTGTCTCCTAACTGACTCTGTACAAACAGGGCATACGATGTCAATACATGATACAGTGTGTCTCCTAACCGACTCTTTACAAACAGGGCATACAATGTCAATACAGTGTGTCTCCTATCCGACTCTGTACAAACAGGTCATACAATGTCAAAACAGCATACATTGTGTCTCCTAACCGACTCTGTACAAACAGGACATACAATGTCAATACAGCATACATTGTGTCTCCTGAGTGACTCTGTACAAACAGGGCATACAATGTCAATACAGCATACAGTGTGTCTCCTAACCGACTCTGTACAAACAGGGCATACAATGTCAATACAGCATACAGTGTGTCTCCTAACCGACTCTGTACAAACAGGTCATACAATGTCAATACAGCATACATTGTGTCTCCTAACCGACTCTGTACAAACAGGGCATACAATGTCAATACAGCATACAGTGTGTCTCCTAACCGACTCTGTACAAACAGGTCATACAATGTCAATACAGCCTACATTGTGTCTCCTAACCGACTCTGTACAAACAGGTCATACAATGTCAATACAGCATACGGTGTGTCTCCTAACCGACTCTGTACAAACAGGGCATACAATGTCAATACAGCATACAGTGTGTCTCCTAACCGACTCTGTACAAACAGGACATACAATGTCAATACAGCATACAGTGTGTCTCCTAACCGACTCTGTACAAACAGGTCATACAATGTCAATACAGCCTACAGTTTGTCTCCTAACTGACGCTGTACAAACAGGGCATACAATGTCAATACAGTGTGTCTCCTAACCGACTCTGTACAAACAGGACATACAATGTCAATACAGTGTGTCTCCTAACCGACTCTGTACAAACAGGGCATACAATGTCAATACAGTGTGTCTCCTAACCGACTCTGTACAAACAGGGCATACAATGTCAGTACAGCATACACTGTGTCTCCTAACCGACTCTGTACAAACAGGGCATACAATGTCAATACAGTGTGTCTCCTAACCGACTCTGTACAAACAGGGCATACAATGTCAATACAGTGTGTCTCCTAACCGACTCTGTACAAACAGGACATACAATGTCAAAACAGCATACATTGTGTCTCCTAACCGACTCTGTACAAACAGGGCATACAATGTAAATACAGCATACATTGTGTCTCCTGAGTGACTCTGTACAAACAGGGCATACAATGTCAATACAGCATACAGTGTGTCTCCTAACCGACTCTGTACAAACAGGGCATACAATGTCAATACAGCATACAGTGTGTCTCCTAACCGACTCTGTACAAATAGGTCATACAATGTCAATACAGCCTACATTGTGTCTCCTAACCGACTCTGTACAAACAGGGCATACAATGTCAATACAGCATACAGTGTGTCTCCTAACCGACTCTGTACAAACAGGGCATACAATGTCAATACAGCCTACATTGTGTCTCCTAACCGACTCTGTACAAACAGGTCATACAATGTCAATACAGCATACGGTGTGTCTCCTAACCGACTCTGTACAAACAGGGCATACAATGTCAATACAGCATACAGTGTGTCTCCTAACCGACTCTGTACAAACAGGACATACAATGTCAATACAGCATACAGTGTGTCTCCTAACCGACTCTGTACAAACAGGTCATACAATGTCAATACAGCCTACAGTTTGTCTCCTAACTGACTCTGTACAAACAGGGCATACAATGTCAATACAGTGTGTCTCCTAACCGACTCTGTACAAACAGGACATACAATGTCAATACAGTGTGTCTCCTAACCGACTCTGTACAAACAGGGCATACAATGTCAATACAGTGTGTCTCCTAACCGACTCTGTACAAACAGGGCATACAATGTCAATACAGCATACAGTGTGTCTCCTAAACGAAATTAGAATTCTGAGAAGATATATGTGATAAAAAATATAAATTAAGCGGGTTAAATTTACAGTTTGTGTTTTATACCGCTTGTGGCAAGAGTGTTGCCATATCACGGCGCGGGAACATTGTTTCATACATTCTACTGATGCTTGCAATTTAACACGATTCTTTGGCGTAAAGAACCCAAAGCTTCAACCCCTTGGCGACCCATCGTGCCATGATGATGATGATGATGATGATGATGATGATGATGTTGATGACTGTATAGTATTCTCATAGAGATACTTATATATATCCACTATAGAAACATAGTTTCACACATTCTACTCATGTTAAGAATTGAAACACATTCTTTGGCTTTCAACCCCTTGGCCAACAATCCTCCCGTGATGATGATGATGATGATGATGATGATTATGATACTTGCCACAGAGACTTTGTGTAGCGTTGCGTTCCTTCTGATAGCCTCCAGCATCAGCGACTTCATCTGCGTCAACTTGAAACAACAACACCAACAACGTGAACATGAAGTATGTAAACTGACGCGTCCTTAATCCAAAATTCTCAGATAGATCGGACTAATGAATTGCATTATTTCTCATAATCAAGGGTCGAAGATCACTGCAATCAACTATTGTTATATTCGTTTTATACGTCGAAAAAGTATTGACACTCACATGAATTTAAACATCCACATCTTTCAAGTTTGGTTCAAGAGAAGTACCACGTATTGAGATACTCGCCTGAACCCGAGAATGACTTTTTGTGCGATAGATGTGTGACTTAAATAGCATAATAATAATAATAATAATAATAATAATAATAATAATAATAAAAAAAATAAAAAAATAATAATAATAATAGGCCATTTATATTGTGCATATTTCCATACCACTCAGGGGCATGCTCAGTGCGCTATTGTTACCCCGGTCCGTGGTCAGTTTGCTTTCAATAATCATTCTCAGCTCCCTGGGGAGTATACAACCAAGCTCTGCATCTGTAAAGTCCGTGTTACACTGATGAGATTACCTGTCGGGGAAGAAGTCGCAGTCGAGCGATGTAGTTTTCGAAGTCCCCGACAGTGTAGAGCGGCATCATGTTGACGAACGCGAGGGGGTTTCTTGGGATCCCCTCCATAAAGTTTATCGGGTTCAGAGTGTAACTGCAACAGAGAGTGAGTGAGTGAGTGGGTGGGGGTTAACGCCGCTTAACGCCGCCTAAATAGATAGGAAAGCCACACGTGACACAGGCCACTGGCGTTTATGACTGTAAAATGATTACAGGCCATTGTTTGTTTGTTTGGTTTGTTTGTTTAACGCCGCATTCAGCAATATTCCAGCTATTTGACGGAGGTCTGTAAATAATCGAGTCTGGACCAGACAATCCAGTGAATGACATCATGAGCGACATTCTAAGCATTTGGGATATGATGACATGTATCAACCAAGTCAGCGAGCCTGACCTACCGATCACGTTAGTTGCCTCTTACGACAAGTATAGTCGCCTGCTACGGCAAGCATGGGTTGCTGAAGACCTATTCTACCCCGTATCTTCAAGGGTTTACAGACCAAGGGTCGTTACATGAGCGAATGGAGTCGAAACCACGCTCTGCGGTGGCACTGATCCTGCACATTCACCTGCAGTCGTAACTACGACTCGTAAATAACTAAACAAATTTAGTTGCTGTCGTTGATTGCAGTACGGTTCTATCTAGTTTGGTCATGACAAATGAGGTGTTTATGTAGGAAAGAAATCCCATAAATTGCATCCACAAGTTTCTCAGTGCTTCATGAATCTGAGGAAACAAAATCACATGCGTCGCAGATCAAAGTTGGACAGCTTGGCTTTTGAAACCTACTTCATGAAGGAGTATCCCTCGATGAAGGTGCTGAGCGAGTCGTACAGGATGCTGTATGAAGTCATATCCGCTCCCTCCAAGTCCTCTACAGAAATGTTTCGTAGTTCCGTCATCATTTCTTCAGCTACCCACTGGAGGATGTAGAAAAAAGAGTTGTGTCAGCGGCCGCGGTTAGCAGTGATATCAGTTCAGACAAACCAGTGGTTGATATTGTGAGCCACGCCCACTACGTCTGGGTATGACGACATGCAGTCAACCATGTTGACGATCAGCACTGGCTGCCGTAGGTTACCTATAACCCGACCCCCCACGGAGTGAGTGAGTGAGTGAGTGAGTGCGGGATGTTCTCACTGCCCTAAATATATGCCTCCATTTTCTGGTGTTAATTAGTTTGCTTGTCTGTTTGTATGTTTAGCGCCGCTATATTCCGGTTTAATGACAGCGGTCTGTAATGATTGGGGCGGTCGGGTAGCCTAGTGGTTAAAGCGTTGACTCGTCACGCCGAAGAACCGTGTTCGATTCCCGACATGGGTACAATGTGTGAACCCATTTCTGGTGTCCCCCGCGCTGATATGGCTGGAATATTGCTTAAAAGCGGCGGATAACCATACTCACTCATTCAATACAGTGGTTGACATCGTGAGCATCGATCTACTACTCTGCCACCGGGCCTTTGGGGGGAAAGTGGAAATGCGGGGAAAAGATTTATGTTTTAATTTTGTGCTTGTTTTTCTTCAACGCCGCACTCAGCAATATCCCAGCTACATGACGGCGGTTTGTAAATAATCGGGTCTGGACCAGACAATCCAGTGATTGATCCAGCCTCGATCCACGCATGTGGAAGACGATTACATGCATCAACCTAGTCAGGGAGCCTGACCACCCGACCCCTTTAGTCGCCACTTACGAACCCTGTCAGCTTCACCATTGTAATGACACTGTCATCTTGCCCCACCTGTAACACATCATGTTGCTATGGACCGCCCCCGTCTCTGGTGGTGTAACGTCCACCCGGAGAGCGCAAGGTCCGGGGTTCGATCCTCGGCCGCGTCATATCAACAGACGTTAAAATATGGTACTTGTTGTTACCCTGTCTGGCCCTCGGCATTAAGTGGCTAAAACAAGGACTGGTCGGCTCGGAGTCAGTATACTGTGTCTGAGTGGGGAATTCACGTTTTATCTCAGTGGGCTAGCACTATAAATCGGCATTAGTCCGGACTAGTACAAGCAGCCACACACACACATTCGTGCATGCACGTCGCTCTATAAGGGCAATAATTTTGGACGCGACGTTAAACCCCATTTCCCCTCACCTCATGTTGATGCCGGTCAGTCATACCCTGGTGTCTTGATCTGGATGTATGCCTAAACTGATAATATCGCAACAGTGTTTAATGTTTTAGTGTTTTACTGCACTACTGCCCTTAATAGTCACCAACAGACTCCAATGACCTCCTGACCTCCTGACCTTATTTTCCTTTAGTTTGTCGAGAGTGAGGACCTCGAGGTCGTCGTTGTAGTTGTAGATGTTCTTTTTGGTGGCCTGCAGAGGTCGTTCACGCATGCGCCAGTCGAAGAACTTGTTACCCAGTGCGAACAACTCCGCTGATTCACTCTCCACTGGAACACAGTGTGAACATGGTGTGAACAGAATGTGAACATGGTGTGAACAGAATGTGAACAGAATGTGAACATGGTGTGAAAATAATTATAACGAGTAGGGTCTAACCACGCCGTGATACACCTCCTATCCATATCATGTTAGAGTGAGTGAGTGAGTGAGTTTGATTTCACGCCGCGTTTAGCAATATTCCAGCAATACCACGACGGGGGACACCAGAAATAGGCTACACACAGTGTACCCATGTCGGGAATCGAACCCGGGTCTTCGGCGTGACGAGAGAACGCTTTAACAGCTAGGCTACCCGACCGCCCTATCACGTTAGCAGACACCACACATGAGCTTAATACACGACATGTAGATCCAATGTGGAGAACCGAACCCACTGAACAATGTAATAAGGGAACGGCATGGCTTCTCCCCTTTACCCCAATTACATAATCTGGGTATGCAAGAGTGTTATACGATTCTTGATCAAAAGTTATTTGATCAGGCTTACAGCATACAAGGCTATAAAAACTATTAATAGTGGGAATGTGGAGCATATCTCGAAGTTTTACGCATCAGTGAAGAAACCGATGTTTGATGCTATTCCCTTTATGTTCTCAAGTCTATTCTGAACAATTGACTTGCCCTCGCGTGTGTTTGTGACAGGTGGTATCGGTTTGGCAGCATTGGAACACTTGGCATCATTACAATGTATTGTGAAGTGATTCATAAGAAAATGAGGATCATAATTATAGCCTGAGTCGTACAATGGACTGTGCTTTTAGCAGAGATTTTACATGGTGATGGATAGTGACACCAGCTCCTGCTGAGTATGTTACCTCGGGAGTAGAGCGTGATGATGCACAACACTGCTAGCTGGAATGTAACGGACCCCATTCTGAAATGATAAATAACATGATATGTTCATATAGGAGAAGTAGCGGCTGTAGAGGTAGTGGCAATAGCAGTAGAAAAGGTACAATGTCAGCGTTGTCAAGCAATTCACGGCTGATAGTAGTGTGACACTGTTGTGTATCTCCATTTTGAATTTTGTCTCAGATAGTATAGTTTGCGTTATATTTCGAGTCGGTCGAAGTTATCCTTGGCCAACACTCTGTGTGTTCTTTTGTCGCAGATTTGACTAGATTCAGCTTGAACTAACCAGATTCAATTTGAGCTAACCAGATTCAGCTTGAACTAACCAGATTCAACTTGAGCTAACCAGAGTCAACTTGAACTAACCAGATTCAGCTTGAACTAACCAGATTCAGCTTGAACTAACCAGATTCAACTTGAGCTAACCAGATTCATCTTGAGCTAACCAGAGTCAAACGAGGAAAACAAAACTCGTGGTGACAGTCTCGTCACGCCGAAGACATTGTTGTATTGTCAAGTTCAGTCTGCAGTGAAATCATATTACTCAATTACACTATATCAAAATAAACGATTACCCATCTAAGAACTTTCTTTGGAATTAACATCTCCCAATGCAAACACCGTGGGGATTTCGGACCAAAACAGATACCAAATACCCATGAATCATTAGAGAGACAAATACCGGTTTTATAGTGCTAGCCCACTGAGATGTGGGAGTTGAAATACTGATACGCCACTCAGACACAGTATACAGACTCCTAGGCGACCAGTCCTTGTTTATTCGATAAATGCCGAGCACCAGGCAGGGTAACAACAAATGGGGATCGAATTACCAACCTTCCTATCTCCGGGCAGACGGTCTATCCACTACACCACGGAGGCGGTCTCCGGGCAGACGGTCTATCCACTACACCACAGAGGCGGTCTCCGGACAGACGATCTATCCACTACACCACGGAGGCGGTCTCCGGACAGACGCTCTATCCACTACACCACGGAGGCGGTCTCCGGACAGACGCTCTATCCACTACACCACGGAGGCGGTCTCCGGGCAAACGCTCTATCCACAACACCACGGAGGCGGTCTCCGGGCAAACGCTCTATCCACTACACCGCGGAGGCGGTGTCAGGACAGACGCTCTATCCACTACACCACGGAGGCGGTGTCAGGACAGACGCTCTATCCACTACACCACAAAGGCGGTCTCCGGACAGACGATCTATCCACTACACCACGAAGGCGGTCTCCCGTCAGACGCTTTATCGGCGGTCTTTAGTGAGTGAGTATTGTTTTACGCCGCTTTTAGCAATATTCCAGCAATATCACGGCGGGGGACACCAGAAATGGGCTTAACACATTGTACACATGTCGGGAATCGAACCCGGGTCTTCGGCGTGACGAGCGAACGCTTTAACCACTAGGGTACCCGACGGCCCCGGCGGGCTTTAGGTCAGCAGACAAATGATGGTCAGGTCATCACAATTGGTTTGAAGACATGTTAAGCTTGAACAGATAGCTGGAACGCAACTTGCTTCGCGGAGAAAAGTATGACATGGCACGTGCTGTCCGAGCACGTGCAAAACGAGGAAAATCGGACATGCTTGAGTTCATTTTGGCTTTGAGATGTCGTCGCGTTTGGACGTACATTCGCGACATTGGTTTGATAGTTCGGCTCGATACCACGTACATTGAATAGTCTCGTTCTATAGCTCGTCAATATAGGACGTAGTAGAACGTGTTAGTTACGATAGGACGCAACAATGCTGGCCAAAATAGGGCTTAACTGATAGATTGATAGCAATAGAATTTGAGAATCATATTTAGTTGATTTTGTCACATTTACATTTCTTCAGCTTTTTTAAGAAGAGATTCACGTTTAGTTCCCCGAATTTATTATCTGAATTATTTCATCATATCAAGATAGTCACGTTTAGTTCCCCGCATACAACAGTGAGGGAATTCTCATTTTTGTTAATACTTGATATTCCACTGCGCAACAACAATGATGGCGTGAAACGTTGCTCATGCTATCAACCACTGGTCTGCCATTACTTTGTCATTGTGCTGAACAATACAGACGCGTAATACTACATTCACTCACTCACCCAGCATGACCCACGACAATGTTCTGCCGTAAACGCATTGCCTTGTCTGTTACTTCTTACCAACGATAACTTCTGCCCCAAACCAGCTTCCGACTATAACGATGTAAGTCCGTCCTACACAAAGCTATGAACATCACCTCTGCTGTGATCACTGCCCAGCTATGCAGGGAGCCCTTTTGTTTTCAGATGATTAATGCTGCCGCGTGGGAAGAATGTGATGCATGTAGGCGAGTCGGTATTTCCATGCGAAACATGACCCAAGTCGCCCAACGTGGTGCCCCCCACCCCACCCCACGTCTTACTCCAACAACCAGAACAACATAACCCACAACATCACCCTACCCACCCCACCACGTCTTACTCCAACAACCACAACAACATCTCCCTACCCTCCCCACCACGTCTTACTCCAACAACCAGAACAACATCACCCACAACATCACCCTACCCACCCCAACACGTCTTACTCCAACAACCACAACAACATCTCCCTACCCTCCCCACCACGTCTTACTCCAACAACCACAACAACATCTCCCTACCCACCCCACCACGTCTTACTCCAACAACCAGAACAACATCACCCACAACATCACCCTACCCTCCCCACCACGTCTTACTCCAACAGCCACAACAACATCACCCTACCCTCCCCACCACGTCTTACTTCAACAACCACAACAACATCACCCTACCCTCCCCACCACGTCTTACTCCAACAGCCACAACAACATCTCCCTACCCTCCCCACCACGTCTTACTCCAACAGCCACAACAACATCACCCTACCAACCCCACCACGTCTTACTCCAACAACCACAACAACATCACCCTACCCACCCCACCACGTCTTACTCCAACAACCACAACAACATCACCCTACCCTCCCCACCACGTCTTACTCCAACAACCACAACAACATCACCCTACCCTACCACGTCTTACTCCAACAGCCACAACAACATCACCCTACCCTCCCCACCACGTCTTACTCCAACAACCACAACAACATCACCCTACCCTCCCCACCACGTCTTACTCCAACAACCACAACAACATCACCCTACCCTCCCCACCACGTCTTACTCCAACAGCCACAACAACATCACCCTACCCTCCCCACCACGTCTTACTCCAACAGCCACAACAACATCTCCCTACCCTCCCCACCACGTCTTACTCCAACAACCACAACAACATCTCCCTACCCTCCCCACCACGTCTTACTCCAACAGCCACAACAACATCTCCCTACCCTCCCCACCACGTCTTACTCCAACAACCACAACAACATCACCCTACCCTCCCCACCACGTCTTACTCCAACAGCCACAACAACATCACCCACAACATCACCCTACCCACCCCAACACGTCTTACTCCAACAACCACAACAACATCACCCTACCCTCCCCACCACGTCTTACTCCAACAGCCACAACAACATCACCCACAACATCACCCTACCCTCCCCACCACGTCTTACTCCAACAACCAGAGACCGCCTCCGTGGTCTAGTGGTAGAGCGTCCGCCCGGTGAGTGGAAGGTCCGGGGTTCGATCCCGGGCCGCGTCATACAAAAAGACGTTAAAAGATTGTACTTGTTGTTACCCTGTCTGGCGCTCGGCATTAAGGGGCTAAAACAAGGACTGGTCGGCTCGGAGTCAGTATACTGTGTCTGAGTGGGGTATTCATGTTAAACTGCGGCATGGTATCTCAGTGAGCTAGCACTATAAATCGGCATCAGTCCGGACTAGTACAAGCAGCCACACACACACATACACGTGCATGCACGTCGCTATATAAGTGCAATAATCTTGGACGCGACGTTAAACCCAATTTCACCTCACCTCACCAACAACCAGAACAACATCACCCTTCCCACCCCACCACGTCTTACTCCAACAACCACAACAACATCACCCTACCAACCCCACCACGTCTTACTCCAACAACCACAACAACATCACCCTACCCACCCCACCACGTCTTACTCCAACAACCACAACAACATCACCCTACCAACCCCACCACGTCTTACTCCAACAACCACAACAACATCACCCTACCCACCCCACCACGTCTTACTCCAACAACCACAACAACATCTCCCTACCCTCCCCACCCCACGTCTTACTCCAACAACCAGAACAACATCACCCTACCCACCCCACCACGTCTTACTCCAACAACCACAACAACATCACCCACCCCACCCCACCACGTCTTACTCCAACAACAACAACAACATAACCCACAACATCACCCTACCCACCCCACCACGTCTTACTCCAACAACCACAACAACATCACCCTACCCTCCCCACCACGTCTTACTCCAACAACCACAACAACATCACCCACCCCACCCCACCACGTCTTACTCCAACAACCACAACAACATCACCCACCCCACCACGTCTTACTCCAACAACCACAACAACATCACCCTACCCACCCCACCACGTCTTACTCCAACAACCACAACAACATCACCCTCCCCACCACGTCTTACTCCAACAACCACAACAACATCACCCTACCCTCCCCACCACGTCTTGCTCCAACAACCACAACAACATCACCCTACCCTCCCCACCACGTCTTACTCCAACAACCAGAACAACATCACCCCACCCTCCCCACCACGTCTTACTCCAACAACCACAACAACATCACCCTACCCTCCCCACCACGTCTTGCTCCAACAACCAGAACAACGACACCCACCCCACCACGTCTTACTCCAACAACCACAACAACATCACCCTACCAACCCCACCACGTCTTACTCCAACAACCACAACAACATCACCCTACCCTCCCCACCACGTCTTACTCCAACAACCACAACAACATCACCCTACCCACCCCACCACGTCTTACTCCAACAACCAGAACAACATCACCCTACCC